GCTCTTCCTGTTTTATCCAGTCTTTTTCCACCACCACTCTTAGACAGCCATTGTCCAGCCCTCCGTCTGCTGCAAGGAAAAATGCAAAATTTTCCTTTACCGCTGTCAAATGTGTTTTGGAGTATTCCACATTTTCATTTCCTTCTTCTTCTGAGAATTGGTGTTGTGGATTATCTTCGTCCGGTGGCAGGGGGTTTTCTCCCTCACTGTCGTCGGAGTGGACCAGTGGTTCCCATTCATCCGAGATTTCGTTCTCCAACTGCTCCTCACGCCGCTGGTCGCTATCTTCTTCTCTTCCCACTCCTGGATCTATCCGTTCCTCGTGCGGCACTGGGTCAATGACTGGATCAGCTGGTTCCCCTGGCTCTGCTGGGATATTCTGGTAAATTTGTTCATCATCCGATGGGATTAATGGCTCTTGCGTGGGGTCGAACATACTTCCACTGGTTTCACTTTCGGGTTCGGACGGTTCCTCGTCCGAAATTGGTTCATCTTTTCTCTGTGGTGGTTGATTGCTTCTTTTCGGCCTTTTGAAGACTCGCTTTTCTTCTTCCGTTGTTGTTTCGTCGAGCGAGACCGAGATTTTCCGAGGGCGTCCCCGTTTTTTCTTTTCACCCCTTGGACGTCCTCGCTTCCTTTTCTGAATTGGATTCTCTCTCTCTTCCGGATTTCTCTCGGGTGCTTCTGAGGGTGGTTTGTTTGTCCTTTCTACCTCCGGCGGTCCTTGGTTTACCGACACTACTCGACATTTAGGCACATGTGTGGTAGTGTTTCCTTTTTTTATTTTAATGACGTCAGGGGAAATCACTGCGGTGATTACGTGAGGTCCCTCCGTCTGATAGGGTGAAAAATTTTTATACCATACCAGATCCCCGACGTCCATGTCTGGGTAATTACTGGACAAATCTATCGTCATTTGAGCGAGATCCCAATCCGGTGGAGGGTCGTTCACTGCGGCGATACACTCTTTCCTTACTATATCGGGTCTCGTACCCCGCATGACTTGGACTTTGTTATCAGGCCACATCATTTCTACTACGCAAGGACCTGTTTTTTCGCCGCTTGGTATGACGACATACCATATCGCGTCACCGACTTCTGCCTGCTTCATCAATGGATTCATTTCGCCAGTCACTGCGATGGTCTGCTCATGAGTCGATGCTTCTTCCTTATCAGGTATTGGGTTACGAGATAACGCGTCCGCATTGAGATTTAATTTTCCCGGTTTATATTTAATCTCATAGTCGTACTCCTCCAATTCATTAGCCCATCGTCTTAATTGGGCTCCCGGATCTTTAGTGGATCTCAGCCACACGAGTGGCTGATGATCTGTTACCAAAGTAAATTTCTTTCCGTATAAATACGGTCGAAATTGCCGAATTGCAAAGATAATCGCGAGAAGCTCTTTTTTTGTTGTTGTATAATTTTTCTCGGGTTTTGTCATCACTCGTGACGCATAGCTTATAGGCAAATCTTCGCCTATTTTGCCTTGACTTAGGATTGCTCCGACTGCGTAATCTGATGCGTCCGTTGTGACGACAAACGGCCGAGAAAAATCAGGGTGTCTTAGAATTGGATATTGCGTAATTTCCCGTCTCATCGACTCGAAAGCGTTTTCCTGGCTTTCCCCCCATTCAAAAGGAACATCCTCCTTCAAAAGTTCGTTTAGGGGGCGTGCTTTTGTCGCGAAATTTTCGATGAATTTTCGGTAATAGCCGGCCAGACCAAGAAATTGTCTAATGCCCTTTTTGTCCTTTGGCCTCCGATATTTTAAAATGGGGTCGATTGTTTTGGGGTTGGGCTTTATCCCTTCCTCGCTCACGCAATGTCCTAAGAAGGTGGCTTCTTCCCTCAGGAATTCACACTTAGAAGGCTGCAGGCTCATTTGCACTTTGTGGAGTCTATCAACAAAGGATTTGTATTTTTTTCTATGATCCTCTAGTGTTTTGCCATAGACTACGATATCATCCATATATACAAATAGTCCTGCACCCTGTAAACCTGAGAGAACTACATCCATTGACCTTTGAAAGGCTGGTGGACCATTCGCGATTCCCATTGGAATTCTTGAGTAATGATAATGCCCCCCTGGTGCTGAGAACGCAGTTTTGGAGCGGCTTTCGGGTGCCAATGGAATTTGGTGGAAACCCGACACCAGATCAAACGTCGAAAAATACCTCATTCCCCCCAATTGATCTAGAATATCCGTTATGTTGGGTAAAGGGTACGCGTCCGCGATCATTTTTTCGTTTAGTTTACGAAAATCGACAACCATGCGCCATCTTTTCTCTCCGTCGGCGCCTGGTTTTTTTCCTACCATCCATGCTGGGGAGTTATATGGTGAGTCAGAGGGTTCAATGATACCTGCTTCTAACATTTTATCTATTTGCTCTTTAAATTTATCTCGAATGTGGAAGGGCAGGCGAAATTATCTCACTACCACCGGGTCATCACCTTTTNAGTTTACGAAAATCGACAACCATGCGCCATCTTTTCTCTCCGTCGGCGCCTGGTTTTTTTCTTACCATCCATGCTGGGGAGTTATATGGTGAGTCAGAGGGTTCAATGATACCTGCTTCTAACATTTTATCTATTTGCTCTTTAAATTTATCTCGAATGTGGAAGGGCAGGCGAAATTGTCTCACTACCACCGGGTCATCATCTTTTAATTTAATACGATACCCTGGTATTTTTGCCTCTTTCAATTTCTCCTCATCAAGTTTATAGACCCACGGATTGTATCGGACAAGGTCTTTTACCTCTTCCTGCTCCTCCTCATCGAGACCCTCCAATTTGAGGACTTCAATAATTTTATTGGCTTTAATTTCGCGCTGTTGATCGTCTGAACTCTCTGTTTCTCCAAATGCTTTAATTTCCGCCTCTGTCGCAATTGACTCTATCTTTTCCAGGTCAACAAATGGAACTCTAAATCGCTCTTCGGTTTCACGGGTATTGTAGACGTACATGAAAGCTACACCATCTTTAGGCCTTACTATCGCATCCCCGAAGTACACTCCTGTTTTGATGTCCCTTCGCGGGAGGTATCCGACCTCAGCGTCGAATTTATTTACTCTGACGTATATTAATTTGACTGTCCTAGGCGGAAGAGGAATTGACTCCGTGTTTACGAACGTATGTATTCTTTCCCCTATAGTCAACGTATCTTCCCCATAGTCAATTTTGACTGCCCTACTTTTTAGAAATGGCCTGCCCAGCATTCCATCTTCTATAAGGGGAAAATCTGAGTCGACGACATGGAATTTGTCCTTGACTCCCTCTACGTCCAGAGTTACGTATCCAACCGTCTTCAATTTCCCCGGTGTAACCCCTTTAATTATTATTATTTCTTCGCGATTTATAGTTACTTTCGGGCTGAGTTTATCCAGTCTCACTAGATTTACATCAGCCCCCGTGTCGACAAAAAATTGACCTTCCCCCCTTTCCATTTTATTAACCTTTAAATGGACTTGAGTGGGGGGTACATCCATTACGCGGAAATTCACATGGGCTGTCTTATATATTACCGTGTTCTGCGCGTTTGACTCGCCCATGCCTCTGAGTCCCAGATCGCGCAGTTTTTCTAGACTCATTCCTAGTTTAAATTTTTGTTAGAGGGACTTGCAACAGCTGGATCTTCCTGTTGTCCCTCTCCCTTGGTTTCCTCAGAAGCCATTTTTCTGGGGAATTGCTGCTTTATTAAATGTGAGGGGGTTCTACATTCTCGCGCGAAGTGTCCGGGTTTGGAGCACTTGTAGCAACTGTAATCAGCGGTGTTGGGTTTCTTCTTCCGCTTATCATTTTGTTTCCCCCCTTTATAATCTGAGTTGCCTTTACCGCTCTGAAAACCGCGTCTCTGCCCGTCGGCTTTGGCTGAATTTGTGGCTTTAATGTTCAATGCCCTCAAATCAGCTTCAAGGGCGTCGTCATCGATTGATTCTGTTGCTCTAATTTTCGCTTGCCCTTGAAACTGCTTTGTTTTTGCGTGCAATTTTCTGAGTTGTTCGAAATCTTCGGTCTCTTTTAATTTGGATTCGATTGTCACTGCAACGCCGACGGCTTCGTCAAAAGAGGTAGGTGTCAGAGGGAACATCATGTTCTTGATGTCTCTTCTGAGACCTGCGAGGAATGCTTCCCTCATGTTCAGTTTTATGCCATGAATGGTAATACCGTAATCAGCCGTCGGGTCCGTGTCAAGTCGACTCTGTGCTTTTAATTGGAGAGCTCTGAAACGCGCTTCATAGTCGGTTACTGATTCCCCGTATTGCTGATATAAACGTGACATTTTTGCGAGGATTTGACGTAAATTTTCTCTAGTTCCGAATGAAAGACGAAGCTTCAGGATAAGGTCATCGAGTGAATAGATGCTAGTTAATGCGCTCTCCACTGCCAATCTTGCCTTGGGGCCGAATTTTGGTAGTATTTGATGGAAGAAATTGAATTCATCTCCCGGTTTCAGAAGTCGACGTGACATATTTAAACTGGTGATGAACCTTTCAACATCGTCCCCAACTTCGTATTTCGGTAGTGGTCTAATGGCATTTCTCACTCTTTGATCCTCTCCATAAAAATTTTCTAATCTTGGATTATATCCCATTCCTGGTCCATATCCCTGTCCTTCAATGCCCAGATTTAATTCCGGTCTTGTGTTCCCGCCTCCAAAATTATTATTCGGTGTTACGGTTCCGGCATTCATTCCCTGTGTTGCGTTTAAGCCGCCAAGACCGAGATTTGACCTGGCAACTCCCAGATTCGACCCTGCAAATCCTAGATTCGACCCTGCAAATCCTAGATTCGACCCTGACGTCGGACTTCCGAATCCCATTCCTTGCCTGGCGAATCCGTAGTCTGTACCAAATGCGTGTGTGGCGCCTAATTCTGATCGTCCCATCCCATAATGTATGCCGGACGCTGAGTTATTTTGTCCCAATCCCAAATTTACTCTATTGTATTCTGGATTTCCCCCATACATTGAGGTCGATTGCCCTAATCCGTAGTTTGACATGCTAACGTTTGAGAATATTCCCTGTGTCTGTGGATTATTTAAGGGTGGTTGGGAGGTATTTCCTGAACTCGCGCTCATTCTCGCACTGGTACTCGTGTACGTCACGGTAGTGTTCGTTGTACTCGAGGCTGACGGTGCCTCGGTTATTGTCGTGGGTGTCACGGCTACCGTCGGCACCCCTGTTCTCGCGTCTTGTGTGCCGTCCATATTTATCTTAATTAACTCTAATCTTGAGAGGTACGGTCTCGAGTCGTCGTTCCGTCTGTCTCGTCGATTATTCCGATTGGTCAACGATCGCTCTGAACGCGTGGGTGGAATTTTGAGGCTGTTTGTGTACTTACGTAGACCCAAAAACGGCGAATAAGAGCCACAATTTCATCCTCCTTCCTCTCGTTGGTGTTTTAATCGCGTTCGTTGTCTCTGCGCGTTGCTTCTCTGCTGGTTGTCCCCGGTTACTAGCTTTTTGGCGAGTTGTCTCTGCTAACACTTTTCTGCTAGTTGTCTCTGCTAGCACTTTTCTGCTAGTTGTCTCTGCTAGCACTTTTCTGTTAGTTGTCTCTGCTCGTTGTCACTGTCCTCGGGTGAAGTTTTGACTTCTCTGGATTCTCTAATCTTCCTTCTATCGAGTGCAGTTGTAACGGGAGATTGAGACGTCTGCCTTTTCCTTGACCGTCGGATTTTTTTTTCTTCTTCAGCACACGCGTATACCTTAATTATTCACTGCAATCCTTCACTTTTTTGTTAAAATCACATAATTTTCACTTTTAATCCTTTGAGTCACTGTAATCCTTGTTTTTGCACTCGCTTCCCCGAATGAGTGCCCAACAATACGTTGGGCGCCAATGTGACGAAATGAGTTAATTTGTCCTTTAATAACTCATGTTTCACTCCGACCTCGGCTAGTCTCGGTGAGCTCACGGGTGGTTCGCTCAATCGGAGGGATAAGTGAAGGATAGAGGGAGGGTTAACGATATTAAACCGACCGTACT